TCTCTCTCTCTCTCTCTCTCTCTCTCTCTCTCTCTCTCTCTCTCTGTACAATGTCGAACACGTTGATGTGTCAAAATATTCGCAACCTCGTTCTCGCTTGGTCTAACAGTAAAGGATCGTTCCGTGTAAAATATGTTCATCATGCGACACACGTTCAGTACGTGAAGTAACGCTTCTGCAAAATCGTGCCTTTTTTTCCTCCTTCAAGCACATCCGTGACGAAAGTATCAGTTCATGACGGGATAACGCGTGTTCCGTTTTCTCTTTTGTATGGCAATCACATACCGCTGCGCGATCACGAAATGTATTAAACGAATGTATTAAACACAAAAGATACGCGAATGCATATAACGAACAATTACAAAAAACGGATTATCAAAGTGGCAGTAGTACATTCTACCGTTTCGGATTTCTGTACTTCCGGCGAAAGGTTGTGAAACGAAGTCGACATCCTCGGTTCTTAAGCCTACAAAGCATTCGCGTATCGTGAGAGTGTAAAGAGATACGACGTGTCTACAATTAAGAGAACAACGAGAGTATCTCTCTTTCTCTCTCTCCCCCTCCTTCCGTTGCTTAATACATTTGTTACATAAGATACTTCGTTTCACATCGCCGCCGTTATTACTTTTTTTCTTCAATTCCTTTTACACGCGCGCGTACGTGTAATACGTTGTTGCTGTTGTTGTTGTAGCACGTGAATAAAGCATGCACGTGTCAGGCATGAGAAGCACTTATTTCGCACCGGTCGATTCTCAGCATCATGTTTTAATCGCACTGAATGATTATTATTATCATTACGGTTTTTTATATATATTTTTTTTTCTCTTAAGTAACAACGGCAGAACGTGTAATTCTCGAGAGGGAAAGTAGCTGATATTGTTAGACTGACTTCTTACACACACGTCACTAATCTCTCCTCGAGTCCTCCCGTCTATTCTGTCCTGTATGACGCTGATTGGACCTTCATTAACTGTACGGAATAATTACTTATAACGCGATGCGCGCAAGAGGAAACGAATACTCGACAACTAACACACAGAGAGAAAGAGAGAGAGAGAGAGAGGAATCTGCTGCGACGATTAATTATCACTCGCAACGATTACTCGCAAATTCGGATCTGTCATTAACAACAGCTAATCGTGTTCGAAAGTGTAATTAAATACCGACCTAACGTAATTACTATATTACACTTTTCCGATCAGTATGGCGCGTTTACTAAAAACACGTAACTTCTCTCGCTCACTCTTCCTCACTGCTCGATTCTATGCTAACTCGCTCGCGATTTTCACTTCGCTCTTCGCCGGTGTTCCCGTCTCCCGCTGCCTGTGCGAGACAGTCTCACAAATGATTTTCTATTTTCTTTCAGAAATAAAAGCAAGGAAAAAGCATGCAGGTAAGAAAGAAGTTTTGTGGCTTTCGTTTTACAGTAGGTACTAACTCAGTGCATGCGAGAGACAGAGTCGAGCCGAGTAGAGACATTAACAATCGTAGCTATATCCTCCAATAGACCAGAGAACATGCCTCGACGCTACTTTTCTACGTAGAACATATCGAAAAGTCTTCCTCTCGTTAAATCCGCGTGGATCGATTAACTCCATTTACATGCAATTACGATAACAATACATTTACATGTAATTACGCGCACTTACGATAACATTGCATCTCGCTCTCGATAGTTACGCAGTTTCCAAGATTGTTTAGTTTTCGCGGAATCTTTAACATATTAATTGCCATACTGATTTTCATCAATTATTTTAACGGCCAAGTAAGGTTTGAATCATTAAAGACACGACAAATAGATGCCACTCACGATGCGTATGTTTGCTAATTGGTTTCATTAGCTTGCTATTGGTCATAAATCTAATCTGTTATAGACGATTATAATTTACAGAATATTAGAATATTTTTGCAATATAAATTTCATATGTAAATTAGTGAGCTAATATTATAGCGCCGGTAACTCCCGTGGCAGTTAATGTGTTAATGTAGAAAGATCGAGGAAAACGATTGATGAGATGCGCGAAGCAGAATCAGATCCGCTGGTATATCCTTCCTCAGTACTATGAGAATCACGTAGTGTTGTAAGTAAGGCGAAAGCATTCACGAAAGAGCCGTAATGACGCTGTAACCGTGCGATTGATTGAATATACAGAGAAAGATCTTGGTTTCCTACGAATTGGCTCGTTGAACGTTCGCGTGAAACGTACGACGGAAGCCTTCAGCCAGTTCCTGGGTGTGGCAACTAGCAGCAGCAGCAGCAACACGGCCGGGAGCAACAACGAGAAGATCCACAAATCGTGGGGATCCGCGGATAACGTTCAGGTATTATTTTCTCGGCTACACCGTATCTCCGGCTGACGCGTCGGCACGTAATACGGATCCCAACAGGAAATACTTATCTCGTTTAGCTAATAACTAAGGCGGGAAAAAGGCGCGACTTTGGAGGAGTATGGAGGCAACAATGAGGCCGCCGCTAACAGCGGCTTCACTCGCGGTTACACGCGAATCTATCGTCGATTGATTTCCGATCGAATTTTTCAATCACACATTCTGGAAAGTACAGACCGTCTCTTTCGGTTTTCAGTCGCGCAAGTTGCAGAATTTGCGAACAAAACGTGACGCGTGTCGCGCTGATCGCATTAACACATTGATGAACACCGCGAAGGTCACAGGTGATACCACCATGTCTCATTGAGTTACGCATAAAATACATTCAAATGCGTATAATGTTACGAGACAGAAGAGATATGCGTCTGAAATTACAATTATTTATCATATCTTTGATAATTCAATCATCAATCGTGGTGTACCTTTTGTTTGTGTACTATCATAGCCATCAGGATCAGTTTTACTAGAGCTATTAGTATTTTTGTGCAATTAACGCGGCAATCAACATGTTAGCTAAGACCTCAGCGATGGAAACTCAAGATTCCCGATTGTGTTCAACACGTTCGCTACCAGCGTCACACATGTGCGATAACAAAAATTAGTTTTCCCATGTCCACACATTTTATCAAACCCAAGTCTGTTTTATACAATTATGTAAAAAAACACACAAAGCGATTCATAGGAAAGATTCTCCAAATAAAAGAAACTCTGGTAGCGAACATACTAAACTGAGAGTCTTCTGAAATTTCCACGACTGGAAACTGATGGAATTCACATTGATCTTACCTCTCTCTCGCGAGATAAGATCAATCGGGGAAAATATATTCAAATCGCTCGCGTTAACCGGCAAAAAGGACCTCTTGGATGCTCACGGGTCGCGATAATAGCGTTGTTATCCCGCGCTACCTTCCTCTTCGTCCCGTCTAATCTTTCGCACGTTACGTTGCGATTTCCAAGCTGGACCAGAAGATGATGCCACCGCCAAAGTACGCGCCCATCAAAAAGCGCAGGAGCCGGCGGGCGCAGGATTTCGGGCCGTCGCGAGGTCAGCAAGCGGCCAGTCAGCCGACTACTCCGTTGCTGCAGGGCAAGGTCAACCGACCAAACAACCAGGCCGTTCAACGTCGACCGACGTCCACGACGTCTGTCAACTCCGTCGTTTCCAACGTCCAGCAGAACGACTCCGACTCGGATACGGCGTGCGGCTTCGACTCCGCGTGGCGAGGATCCGCCCAACTGTAGATAATTCTTGTAATTTGTCATCTTGAGTTTACATCACGCCTTACCCCTTCTAATGATTAGTGATTTCTCGTTTCTATGGAACAAAAATTGTACATATCGAAGCGCGCGAGGACTTCATCCTCCAAATCAAGAAGCTCAAGGATCTTTAAGGCAATTGTAGTCTCTTCGCGTACACAACATCGTAAACGAGAAATATGTATATCTAATGAATAATCTTCGCTATTTTCGTTATGAACAAGGTCCGCATTAGTGATTTCTTGTGACATAGAATGATTCTTGATCGTTCTTGTAGTTTTCTTTTATATTTTGGATTAATTTTATTATTGATAGTTGTACTCTTAATGTTTTAATGCAAAGCGGCTGATATAATGAAAATTGCAGAGTGTTTGAGACATAAATTATTTCTGTAAAATTTTTATCAGCTACTTATATTTCGTTATTTCTTCGATAATGCCTCCGATAATACATATTATGCATTTAAATATATTTTACGTTGTATAGCAATAATCTTTTTTGAGTAATTGATATGTTTTCTCTTTTTATCTTATTATTTTACTTCTTATCTTTTTATTTTAGTTAAAATATACAAGTTTCAACGAGATGTGTTTTATAAATTATACGTTAAGCTTAATTTAAGAGAGTAGGACATACTGTAGATTTGAATACGCTTACCTACATTATAAAATATATGAAGCAAAAATGTATTTATTAAATATAAAAAATAAAATGTTATATAATTTATATTGATTTATGTACACGTTTTATTTTCTTTTTATACTTAAAGACTAAAAGCCTATTTTCGGCTTCAAATATAAAATATTTCCAAAGTAAAAATTTTTCAAAAAATATATAATTGTTATAATTTCTGTAATTACAGAGGAAACCACAAATGTTATGGTCAGGAACATTGCACGTTATATATTACGTATACTTGTAAAGAAAATACTTTATAAATTCTAATATTCCTTTAAAAAGTTTTGAAGATATCTTCAGAATGTTTCTCGATAATATGTGCTAGAAATGTTCTAAACGAGCGTACTATATGGAAAATAATTTCATTTGTTATCGGTTATTATATGCAATTCGAGTGAACAAAATGTTAAAAACCGATAGTTTTATGAAAATATGTATATTAGTTCAGGTATTAAAAAACGAACAATTAATACCGTGTTATAAGCTGAATGCGCAAATATTGATACAAGATATAGGAAACAGTAGATAATGTCAGTATCTTTAGATCGTGGCCGCTCAACGTCCAGATTCTGTAACCTGTCGTCGTTGTACCGACCTCGCAGAGGATCAACAGCCAACGGTTGGCATATACCTTATATCAGCAACGACTCTACTTATCCGGCTTGTCTTCATGCGAGTTCCTTTGTAAGGAAGTAAACACGAAGATAGCACAGATCAGAAACACAATTGTTATCTGTTACCGACTGAGAAAAATTGGACATTGGCTACGTAGTTTATGTTCATATTTCATGAACATAGAGGCGTTTCAATACAAAGTAACTAATAAGTGTAGTGGTCGTTCTCAGGCTTCTCTTTACACGTATCGGCAGTTGTCATTTCTCGAACTTTGTGTAAACACGTGTCCTGAGAAGCGAGAGAGCTTCTATCAATTTCGAAGACCACTTTTATATATCACGTTTGCATTTTTTAATCATATAAGATGTATGACATATGTCATCCTGTAGTGAGTAACTATTCTACTTAGTTTTAAGTATTTTATTGATATAAAACACTTATTTGCGTTAATCCTTTTTACGCGTTTGAATTTTACTAGGATAAAAACACATAAAACACATTAGTTCAAAGAATGTAAATATTCTAAGTATACAGACCAGCTTAATAGCCCTAAAAATTAAAATTTAATGCAATTAGATTTCGAATATTTCCTAATGTTATATTGATACACAATTATGTTAATTCTTTGCAATTGTTGATACTTTCAGTATTATGAACTATACAAACTTGGCTGTAGTGATCCAGTGAAAACAAGTATTGCCTTTTATGTCTATATTGAATTGTGTGAAGGTATTACATTCAATCTATATGTAGCATAACAGTTGTAGATGCATAAATTCTTACCTCTACATTACAATTTATAGTGAAGCGATTTCAAGATGTCAATTACAAATACAACGAGGAACTTGATTTGTTCTATTTTGAAGTTAAGAAGAATAAGAATTCTTCGCTTGAGATCTATATACCTTGGGCCAGCAAAAATAATATTTCCTTTAGCAAGATTGAAAAGATGCAAGATGTGTTGCAAAATGAACGGTAATTTTACCTTGTTTTTAAATAAATGACTGATGTACAATGAATGTTGCTATATTTCTGGCATTTTTGTAATATATCATTATTGATTAATAATAGTACGTTTTTTTAAAAAGAAACTTTGCCAACAGATTGACATTTGTCTTCAAATCTGAAGACAGCAGCAGTGTTTTTTACACAATAAATAAAGGTTTGATGAAGCCAGCGTCACCTGAAACAGCTAGACGACGGAGGGAAAAAGAAGAAAATAAATCTAACTTAGAAACGGAAATTCGTAAGAATACATCACATTTGTATGAATTAGCAAAAAGTCTTAGTGAAAGTAGCGATCTAAGTTGCAATGCTAATTCAGATGTTAGTACAGAATCTATAAAACTGATAGATATCGATTCCACTAAAAAACATGAAAATAGTGATATCACTGCAGAACCAAGGAGTGCTGATTCCTAAATATTATTTCAATTTAGAAAAAAGGACGATTTTTTCGTTATATAAGAACAATAAATATAATAGTTACAAATATGTTATAGTTATATAATAGTTAAATATATAGTTATAAATTTAATAGTTTCTGTGACATATGTGATGATTATCATTTCATTCGTAGTAAGATAATAAGCTGTTTGAATAATAATGATATGTGGATGGTGTATATTGGACATAAGGTACATAGTTTTTAATATTTATTCTTTTAAAGTAATTTTTATATATGCGTGTATATATAATATGAATTTTGAGAATACTTCTAAGGATTGCATAAATTGTTTAAAGTGATATGTAATAAGCTGCCACTGCAAATATATCTGCATTAAATAAATTAATTCTTACAAGTCTGCATCTACCACATTATTTGCATAGTAATTAGTAGACACTACAAATTATACGAGGCACATAATTTTTCTTATCATAAAACTAACGATAAATATATAGTGAACATTTTCTCTAACCACAAAATTATATTTAGTATAACGCTGTATAATTATGTATATATATAAAAAAAATGTGATTAATGAAATAATTTCCTAATAAAAATCGCTGTGAATCAAGAAAGTAAGTCTATCTACACAAAAAACCGTATACGCGATATATATATATATATATATATATATATATATATATATATATATATATATACACATATTTAAATCGCGTCGCACTTTAGACCACACCACATATTCTAAATCGTTAAAATGATCTTGCTGAAAAGTTGCATATAATATCAGTGGTAAAATAATTTGTTCATGATGATTTTTTCTCACTATATCGACTTACACATATATGCTGCAAAACACAAAATACAAAATGGTATTATTACGACGTAAAAATACTTTTACCGTATGAAATTGTTTACAAGGTCTTCAAAAGTATTACACTTTGGCAGTTGAAAGTAGCTTAAAAAAGAATGGTATTGGTAGAGCGTTTCATCCGTGTAAGATATAAAAACAATAACATATGTCGATTAACATGTATACAGGTGGTCTTGCATCTACAAAATATATAAGCAATTTCGATATAAAGTTGATTTAAGTTTTAAGTCCTCAAAAAAAGTTCCGTCCCAAATTGTCATATTGCTGAAGAATTTAGGCCAATGTCTATGCGACGTGTTTGATGCACGATAAATGCCGTCGTGTCGCACTTTTCTCTGCCTGTTTTATTACTGGCCGTCCTTTCAAATAAATTTTGTATTTTTCATTTTAGGGCCGCATAATATATGTCTGTCATCAAAAACATTAGATTTAAGGACTTATGTATATTCATCATATAAAACAGGCACATGAAAGATCCTGCCATTATCTGCACTTTCCAAATTATTTGCCAGTGTTTTACAGTGCATTCAAAACTGACCGAATGCATCTTAGGAATATCTAAAGTACTTCCTCCTGCGTATATGTATATGAATTATGTATAAAATACATACCAAAGTGACTATTATATAGTTTATAATTGCAGTAAGGCAACTAGCTCGAGAGGTACTCGAATCTATATCACTAGTGATACACTTTAACTTCTTCATATTATAATGCTCAATATTAAAAAAGTTTCACAAATAGTTCTGATAATTACATATATATTAGCGTCTTGTTAATGTTAAAATTGTAATGTCGCAAATAAAACTTGGTAAGTTTCACTTAGTACGATAGAACTTACGTACGATGTCTATTTATAATCGAAACCACAGTTGAAGAATATCGCAATTGTCTTACGCTATTCATAAACAGTTTAATGAATCTGAAACAATAATTAAATTCCTATATAATCGTCTTGCACACAAAATTTACCAAGCTTTATTCGAGATATCCTTTTTAATCTATATCTTCGTACAATCCATAACTCAATTTTCAATTCCAAAATTTACATGTAGCGACAAACAACAAATCGAAAAGCTTATATACAATATAGGATTACATTTAGTTTAGTAATATTCAAAGGATTTTCTAATTATATTGCATGTTATAAAAAATTGTCTGATCATGTAGGCACCGTTTAAAAAAATGAACATAGGATACTGTAGGTATCATTTATATTACGCGTAGGTTGTGTTTGTGTCTGTGTATCTGTGGGAATTTTAAACAATTTCAATTCTACAACTTCTACTAAAGTTACAATGTAAGTAAATGATTGTATTTATAAAGAAACGGTGTTCTATGAAAGAATTAAGACAAGTATTAATTTAAAAGCTATAAATAGTCAAGTACGGCTCTTTTGAAAAGAAATTCAGACGGAAAGAGGAATGAAAAATAAGAGTTCTACCCTACAACTTTTTATTAGTACGCATCTTTCATGTATTGTGTGACCATAATTTCAATATGTTATTTATCATAGATAAGAAATTTGTGCACTAATAAGATGTTGCAGTGAAATTCTTATTGGCCGTTCCTTTCCACGTCTAAATTTAAAAGCTTCTCGCAAATAAAATCTAATAGCTACCTCAACATATTACACGGTTCTCAGATCATTTTCTACAAGAGTAAAAACTAAATTTTTTAAAACGTGTTTTCAACATATGCGTTCATGATAGAATATGGACTCATCTTACCATATTTTGTTGTAAGAAAAATCGATCATATATATATATATATATACACATATACACACACACACATATATATATATATATATATATACACACATATATATATATATATATATATATCATATATCATATATTTCATATATAACATATATGATAATATCATAATATGATCATATATGTGATATTATCATGATATAATATAATCATATGATATGATATATATACACAAAGTTTAACAACAATCAAGCTATTAAATATAGAAATATCCGTTAATATTTTCTTCGACACATTTGGTTATATGTTTATATATACATAATATAGAACAGAGCACATGAACTAGTAAAAGTATTTCATCGTATGCTAAAATATGAATGTACATGTAACTAAATGATGTAGTATAGCAAATAATGTGTGATACATGATAAACGAACCTGAAGAACTCTTATGTGTGCTTATTTTGCGTGAATATGAAGCATTATGTGTCGAGTATCTTGCAAAGTTAATGTACGAATGAATTGTATTTCCCATTGTTATATCATAATAAACGATACATGATTAGTCTAATTAAAGCGCTCATTGTTATCTGCAACTTATAAATCGTTAATATTCTACAGTACTATTCCGATTTCAATTCTTTATCACATGAACATGAGCAAGCTTAGCTTTCGATTGATTTTATGTCTCGTGTCGTAATATTGTGATTATCCTTCTAGTTCTATCCTCTACAAGGATATATAATTGCAATCGAATGCATTATTGTATACAATAGCGATATGTAGATAACAATGTTGAATAGAATTTATTTTGCATGCACGAAAAAGAACATCCATACTAATTCGATACTACAGGACGATATTTCGATTATCAGTGAGATAATTTTTTCCAAACGTACAATCTGAAATTATTTTCGTATTTATGCGAAAAAAATTCCTTTGTCAAGAAACCCATAGGCTCTGTCACTTTTCCTCCTACAACCGACAACTAATCGGTATATTAACTAGTAGCTTTAAAAACTTGTAGGTCACGTATAGATTCTGAGAACCGGAAATTTTTAAAATTTACACATCAATAACTCATTTTTTTGTGTAAGTTATATATTCGTGACAAACCTGAGATTCAATTAAAGAATTTCTATCGTAAATTTGCTTTTTCTTCTTCTTGTGTTTATGTGTAGGTATGTATTACATGTGTGTATTAATATAGTATTAAAAATAAAAAAATCTATACATGTTATAATGATATATAGTATATATTGCTCAGATAAACGCGCCCTTATAAAGATACGATATCAATACAATGGCGCGAACTTCATGTAATATGAAGTAAAATTTCTCTTGGATTACGACATGCAAATATTCTCGCTTGCAGAAGTTAATGCCGAGAAATGTTGGATGTTTATAGCTAGCACCAATCAGCCATGTAAGTGAAGTCCTTAAATAGACTTTGTTCCAAATCACTGAGAGGCCGAGGATCTTTCGGAGGCGTTAATTGCGGCTTCTCTGATGTAAATTCTTCGTCAAAATTGCTGACATCCTCCACAGAATGCTGTGCAAGAGATAAAAATATATATCTTCGATGTTGATATCATGTTCAATCTAATTATTATTTAATCTGTTTAATTCATATCTCGAAATAATTTGCTGATCTACAATCAGAATGTGTCGCGTACTAAAAAATTCCGTATAGAGATAAAATCAACTAGATACTCACGATTACTGGCACGAAGGGTGGTTTCACACGTCTCAGGAGCAAATCGTCCCAAGCAATGTGTCTAAAGAATGCTTGTTTCTTGACGTCTTCCGCGTCCCTTTCGCTGCTACCTAACCTTCTATCGGGATTCTTCCTAAGTAACTATAATAAAGCATACGATAATAAGATCTATGCTGAGAGAACGAGATAGAAAATTATAAATACATACCCTTCTCATGATCGCTATCGCCTCGAGAGAGAGGAATCGTGGATACCGAACCTCGTCATTTACAATGGAGTCGAATACTTCTTCTTCGTCGTCGCCTGGGAAGGGAGACTGCAACGTTTTGTTCAGTACTTAATGTGTTCAAGTTAAAAACGCCATTTGAGATGTTTCACACAAGCAATGAAGTTACCTCTCCGACAAGCATTTCGAATATCAATACTCCGAGACCCCACCAATCTACAGCTCGCGTGTAAGAAGTCTCCGTCAAGACCTCAGGTGCTAAGAACTCGGGTGTGCCGCAGAATGTGCCCGTTCTATCTCCGTATCCCATGCCTTCTTTACATAAACCGAAGTCCGCGATTTTAACGTAACCTTCCGTGTCTAGTAGGAGATTGTCCAGCTTCAGGTCTCTGCAAACGGAACGATGTAAGATGCATCATTGAATCACTTAACGCCAACATGTGATAGGAACTGCGATCATACCTATAAATGATACGATTTTCGTGCAAATATTGCAATCCTAGCACAACACAAGCAGAATAGAACACGGCGCGCGGCTCTCCGAAGACGTCGGCATGTATATGCATCATAAGATCACCTCCAGCCGCGTATTCCATTACGAAACATACATGTGCCTGCAAAAGAAACTTATCTTTTACACCCTTCTCATTAATTAAAATATTGAGCGAGAATCGTTATTTTTACCTCAGTTTGAAAGCACGCAAATAAGTTGACAAGGAAAGGATGGCGCGTCGTGTTTGCTACTTCAAATATTCTCTTTTCGGAGAGTAACGACTCCACTTCGTCTCTGGCTATGATATCCCCTTTCTTCAAAGCTTTGATGGCGAAGTATTCGCCCGTGTTTCTATACTGAGATAATATCACTTTGCCGAAATGTCCACGACCGAGTACGGAAAGCAGCCTGAAGTTCTCTAAAGTCATGCCGGTAAGCTGAGAGTGTCTTCTTGACTCGTAGGCACTGTCCCTATATTGTAAAGGCCTGACTGGCAATTCGTATACAACCTGAAAAGCAAAAATCTCTGGTGGTTGCAACATATCATTTATGATATAAGATCAGATATGAAATGTACAAACGCATCATTTAATGCATCATTATAATGTTAGATGCGTTAGAGAATCTCTGTATACATGTCATATGAAGATGTGAACGAATCATATGTTAGTATGTCATAAGAAAAAAAGACACTTTAGACGTGTCTTCGATACAATGGCGAATTATATTGCGATACATTGATTTATTTCTCTAACTACTAAATTTTCCACACAATTAACTGCCGCTTGACATATTCACGTAGCAAGACAATAGAAGTTAAAATATATGCAATACATAGTCTTAAGATCCAACAAAGATATGAGGGAGACAAAGGGATGTAGTGTATAAAGATAAAAAAAGAAAATAGAATAGATAACAAAAAGAAGTTACACAACGGAGTCTAGTCTATCTACATGCAATATACTAAAAGCAAGCAACAAAGCGATGCTGTGTGTATGTGGAGGTATGTACCTCATCCTCAGGAAACTCGACGACAGGTTGGGGCGAGGGTGTGCGTGGAGAGGGTGGTGCAATCAGCACAGGTCGAGGCTCTGTCACAAGGGGCCTCAAATTTGCACCCTGAGGCCCCCCCTTTTCCTCGTTGTGCAGAAAATCAAACTCCCTTAATGCACTCTGTAACTACATTACTATCTTCTTAGCTCTGTCACTCGATCGGGACAATAGTGCAGAATTTTTAGAATTGGACAAGTAAATGTCGTTAATGTAATTTACGTTTGCAAATATGCGTACGTATTTGTTTCGCGATGTCTGCCACATTCGTGACATTATAATAGGGAGTTTGGAATTGCAGCTTACTAATTTAAAAACTGGGAGGATAGCGTGAATACCTGTAACGCTTCAATCGAGTATGCAAAAGAATAAAATCGCATATTCGTCGCGAAATAATTGTAATAACAATATAAGCTGCTAGAAAACAGGAGACTTGCGTACATTTGCACTCAATAAAAACGTGTGTGTAATAACTAAAAGATGTCGTTCCTTTCAAGCAAGTGCAAATTAAATACTAATACTACTATCTTTCATATATAACTGCGGTAAGTATATAATATATAATACCTGATAACATGCCGCGTCAAAATATATATGTATGTACATCCATTAGATTATAACCTTTTAGAACAAAATAAATCTAAAGTATCATACAATTTATTTTACAAACTAACTTCGGCCCGCAACCAAGATTCCCAGCCTAAAGATTCTAATATATATTTTGCTACGATATTCTTATTATAAAGGGAGAATTAAAAAGTAGAAAATATATCTGATACATTGCAAGACAATGTATAAATAACTATATTAATTAACTAAATAAAGAACATTCTCAATTAACTTAATAATAAAGTTGTATTCGTATCATACAATAACATCGATTCATAATGATTATATAAATCATATGAATTTGCGAAATCGGCAATCTTGTATCTTTACATCGAAAGCAGAGATCAACAAATACATATATGCACTGAACAGCATGTAACAAATAATATTGTCGCTTAACAATATGTCGAGCTTGCTTAACTTAAAAAATAGCAAAAGTATAAAAGAAACGTACGTGTGCAAAATGACTCACCTCTTGATCCAGTTTCGGAGGTGGTGCAGGTGCAGGCGTAGACGGTTTCTTCGTAACGGTTGGCGGTGGTGGAGGCGGATGTTCCGGTGGACGCGGGAGAATTGGACTATTGGTCGATGCTGACATTCCTAAGGGCCGTGCGCCTCCAAGCCCACCTTTCTCTGGATCAGGCACTTCCCCGGGAGTTTCAGGCTTATCTTCTATTGAGGTATCGAATACAAGTTGCAACGGTTGCGGCCCTAGAAACGTGACTGTGTGAAATATTCGTAGTGTGTAAAATTCACGCGAGCGAGAAGCTCTGTCTCACCTGATGGCGGACTCTCCGAGTTCCTGGAATTGTGCAACGAAGGTGCCGAACGTTTGAGCAACCTGCCCCAAGTCGCAACATTTATGTTCATCTGGTTGGCCCTCGGGAAATTCTTAACCTGCTGCTTAAAGATCTTACGTTGGCGCTGCAACTTAGGCTTTCGCGATATCATCGGATTTAGGAATTTTATTTCCGCGAATAAAAGACCTTGTGGCTCCAACTGTAGCGCCATACCATGACGAACGTCGTCAATAAATTCTTCTAAGCGTAAAAATTTCACCGCGCAAAGAGATCTCCAGTCCTTCCAATAAATGCCTATCTCGAGTTCTCTCGACTTATCCAGCTCGATAGAAAACCTGAAAATTAGAAAATCAAAATATAAATCTGTTAACAGACACGTTAGAAACACGATAACGTTAATTTTATAATTAATCAATGATTACCTTTGATCCCAAGCCTGTTGAGAACATGGACGCCAACTAGTTTGTGCTACGGTTTGGTTATCCAATTTTATAACTGCCATAATATCATCTATAAGGAGAGGATAAGTGCAATTCTGTGATAATACTGTGATTTCTTTTTTAATTATTTATACTATTATAAATAAAAAACATAGAAAAAAATATAAATAAAGAGAAATATCGAAGATACTGAAGAGAACTCACTGCTTGTTTCGTCTTTTACACTATACGATTTGCTTGAGCTGCGACCTGTGACACCTTTGACGAAGCTACGCAGATCAGGACTAGCAGGATGTTCCCTTCTCGTACGTCCAGGTACTTCTTCTGCCAAGTCTTGACATCCCATTAATCTTACCTGAAAACATTTTTACATGTTAGACAGAAAGCAATTGTACGTGGCCAATCATCTACCGCACATTCTTTTTTATCATCATACCTCTAGTTGTCCCGTGACAGCGGCACATCTCGATACTGAAGCGGGGACCGTAGCTCGACCTTCCAAGGGGCCGCGGAACGGTTGTAGCGATGTATAAGTCACAGGAACCGGACTAGCCGACTGCACGCTAGCTAATTCTCTCTTTAATTGAGCCGCGGTACCGCTGTCGGGTGGTAGTTCCTGCCTTCTGAGTTCGAGGGACAATCTGAGTAAGTCCAATTTTCTACTGGATTCCGCGAGGCTTGCCTGAGCCTATAGTAATATTCACCATTTATGTAAACACCCATAAAAAATATATATATCCAACGTAACATATTACAATTATCTACGATACGAGCACACAAAAGGTTATTATTACGCATGTGTACGTGTAGACCAATTCGATATGTGTCATTGATATTTATTAACAGCGCAATCTCGATAATACATCCTTGTTAATTCTCATAAATGCTCCATTTCCAGCAGAATAGCGGGCCCTCGTAGACGATGGATTCTGATAGAAAAAGCTACAGTATAACGTGGAATATTTCGAGAGAGAGATATAAATTAAACACACGAATCACAATATGCGAGTTCTCGCAGTATCCTCTTTGACTAACACGAGGAACAAAGCGTGATTAATATTACGCACCGAACTTGAGAAGACGCGCTCGTGCTGCGCAAGACCTCTGCCACAATCCAGACTTTCGATTACGCGAGAACGCGAAGTCTTACAATTTCGCAATTCACGCAAACTATTTGGCGGTTTTGTAAAATCTAGAAAACCGGTGCATTCGCGAGTATCAAGGAAAACGTCACTCCTTTCGCAATTTGAATCCCGGGTGACGCTCGAGTTCACTCAACGAAGCGGACCGTCCTCTCGCTTCCTCCTCGAAGAACCTCCGGCAATGCTCGCACAAACACGAAGGATTCTTTGCGGGGCCGATGTGATGACCGGGCTTTCGGAACGCGCTAATCACCGCGCCGAACATCGACGCTTTTATGATATGATCAGTCCGTTCCCCGTACGGAGTGGTGAAGGGCGAGGTCACACGGGAAGGTATGGTAGAGGGAAGAGGAGATGGACTCTTCGAGCTGAACGGGCCGATATAATCACGTAGAACGTTGGAATACGGGACGTGATCAGCAGCGTGCGTCGCCACGGGCGCTCGCAGGCGTTCCTTTCGGGCGTTTCTGTCCACCGCCGCCGTCATCGCATCTAAATCAGTCACGTTAGATTCCTCCACTTGACCCTTGCGACCCGTGCGACAAGGGTCTTTTCGAGCGAGTCGCGATCTGTCGTCGCCGGGCACAAAGCTCCAGCCAACGGCGCCGCTCTCGTCAGACTCCTCGGCGCTCTCCGCGGACGACCAAGCCATCTCGTGCTTCTCTAAATACTCCTTCATCTTCTTGTTCCGCAAGAGCTGCCTCCGCTCGATCTGCGGCGATCGCCAAGTTTTGTTCTTGTCCTTGTCGGTTCTCGCGCCGAGATCCATCCGCCGTATCCTGTCGCGATCCGCGGAGTTCGCATACTCAAAGCTGTCGCACGGCGTCAAGCCCGACTTGCTGTTGACTAAGGATTCGATGTCTGAGAATGTGTCCTTCGACGATGTCATAGTTGCCGAGTCGTAAGAGACCGCCGTGCTGGATGACGCCGCGGACCACGGCGCCGAGTCGAGGTCTTGTATGCCGCTGTACGAGCTGAATCGCGACGGGTACAGCGAGCTCAACACCTCGTCGCTGTCGTATCCTTTCGAGCTGGCCAGCGAGGGCATCCTTATCGGTGCGTTTCGGAAACTCGCGCATCGTCGCTCGGCGGTGCGCTTCAGGAACGCATTCTCGTCCTGAAATCCGCGCGGCAAGTTGTTCGTCGCTTGGGTGTGAGTAATCTTCACGTCCTCGTTCTCGAAGACGGTCATCGGTGTGCTGCATTCGTCGTCGCTAGTCCGGTCGTCGCTGGTCAGATCGTCGTCCGATCCTGTGCAGTACACGTCGATATGCACCGTTCGCGACTTGCGCTTGCTGCTGTCTTCTCTCGTCGACGAATCCGATTTCTCTGAATCAGCCGGAGGAGCGGAACCGCTGCTTCTCACTGATGCCGGGGGCGACCGAATCTCCTGCCGAGAGAAGACGATTGTAACACCCTGGCATTCAATGTCGCCGTTGTTAACACGTTGACTGCCGCGTTCATTTGCATTAGTTTTTTGAAGGCTAGATTAAACTGTGTTATATAAGTATATAAGCAATATTTTCTCTTGGTATGCTATTTGCGTGGGTAAAAGTATTCAACTTTTGTCATTGACTAACAAACAAAAACTTTGCCTATAAGCCTTTAAATGTTTCTGAAATATTTAATTATTTATGGATACTAATAATTGATAGTTAATAAATTGTTACATACAATTAGTTACGCTTTATATGCAAATTAACGAGCGACAATATTTCAGTATCGATCATCCCCATGACTCTTCCATAGCAGTCAACGTGTTAACTTCTTCCTTGTTAACGCCCATGAAAGTCGCTCACCTCTTTCTTCTTCTCGTCAGACTGACAGGTGGCACCAGTGGTCGATCTTCTTCTGATTCTACCGCTCCTCACAGTCGACGAAGAGCGCACGGATTCGACGTCGGTGGTTTGCGAAGCAGCGTCCTTGCTGATCGTGGTAGTGGCGGCGGCAGCGGCTCTGTTCGCACTCTTCTCCGCGACCCGCGTGCAAAAGTGCGTGGTGAAGGCGCTCGACGCGGCGCTACCCTCCGCACAATCCTCGCATACTTCGGGCAGCGCGCTGAATTGATATCGCGGGAACAGCTGGTGCGAAGGTCGACGGTGCCAAAAGTCGGCGGACGAGGTCTTTGGAGATCTGACGGGTGATGAAGCGATCTTAGAATTCGCATCCTTGTCTGCACCTTCACTTGCGGTGGACTGCAGCACGATGCTGCATGTGCTCTTGCATCTGCGATTGTATTGTTGAGACGGTCGTCGCGAGGGTAGACTCGAGTACGAGTGCGGGTGCGAGAACTGCTCGCTATTGTAGCCGGAGTCGGTGATGTTAGCTCGGCCTCTCGCGGACGATACGGAGTCGTCGTTTCCGGACGAGCCACCAGATCGTGGTAGAGTGTACGACCCGGCAGATGACCTTTGAGGCGGTCTCTCGGGCGGCGTGGACGTGAAGAGTATATTTCCGCGTTGAAAGCCGAAGCCACCGGCGCTGTCGCTACCGCTGTGAAGTGACGACGACGAGGACACGACGTTGGACGCGGCTGGTGCCGGCGCTGGTATCGGTGTGGCAGTCGCCGAGTTCGTCTCGCTCGTGTTCCAACGGCATATCATGCGGATGCCAGCCGCGTCGGTGGTGGTGGTAGTGCCTGGCGGCACTCGCACGGTCTCGGAGGTCACCGCGTTGCCGCGGCGGATCGTGACTTCGGCGCGCACGAGCCACGGCGGCACCTGGGAGCCATCGTCGTCCGAATTACTCTGACGTCTGTACATCTCGGCCACCGACGATCACGCGCCGTCATCCACCGCGAGACATTATCGTTCAGTCCACGATGCCGCCGCCATGAGACCGTCGCATCCTCCGAGCGATCCTCCCGCTTCTCCTTCTTCTCCTCTGACCAGAGGAGACGATGATGCGCTGCTCCCGTCCGTATTCTTCTTCTGTTCATGGATTTCAAGTCGTCCGTCGCGCGAGGATGCACCAAGTTCCGTTGCGATGACTGCTACGTGCAACAACAACACCTGCGCTCGCTCATCTGATCTTCCTCGATTACTTCGCGATGTACCGACGGGAGGATCTTATATAATAACGTCTATTTGCGAGCGCGCCGCGCTCGTGCTGCGCCTTCTTCACGAACTCTCCTTCGTAGCGCAGTTTTTCCCGGAAGGATGGCAATACTGCGATATTGCATCGCCCACGATCTATTTTCGGGTCGGACGGTTCGGTTTCCGTACTCCGAGAACTATCCAAGTGCGTTTCTTTTCGCTCCCACGTCGCGACGAGACGTCTAACGCGGATGTCTGATGAAGACTCGCCGCGAGAGCTCGTGTCACTTTACTCCTCTCGTGTTCAGCTGCTCTTTTCCTCTCCGTGTTCCTCGAACAGGTATCTCTCGCGCTCGATTTCGTCGACGACGATCGCTCTATAATAATTCACGCACGTCTTCGCGCGTTGCACAATACTTCCACGATTGTCGCAACCACACCACTACTGCGATGCTCCCTCTTGCAAAGGCAACAAACTGAGCGATATAGAGCGACCACGCGATACGTATAATTAGCACAATATAAATTTGGAGCAACGTACAGTCGCGTGCTAAGAATATGTCTGGAAGTAAGGTGGCACTTTTACATACGACGACTTTTGCCCACCGACGCAATAATGACGACTGCGATGCGGCCGGGCCAAGAAGCCAATCCAGCCCAGCCCAGCCAGGCAGATGCAACACGTCTGTGAAAATCAACTTCGCCACCAACTTCCCCGGAAACTGTATGAACGATTCGGTCACTCGTGGACACCTCGTGGAACGGAGTCTTGCTTAGTTCGTGGTTCTCGATTAATCGGTTCTGAAAAAGTTGTGCGCGTCGCAACACGCGACTGGCCGAGCGCGTCCGCGGATTAAACAGGATTGGAACTTCCGCCCTCGAGGTGAACGAGTATCTTGACAACTTAAATCGATTCTGAAGCAGACGCCAGTCTTCTTGGAGTGTAGCATTTTGAGAGATGAGAAAAAAGAGGGAGGCAGAGAAACAGATAGAGGGGGAAAGAGAGGAACGTCCAACGAGGCGAACGGCTGTGGGCGGCTTCGCGTCAGTCTTCGGATGTTCAGATCATAATTAATGGCTGCGATTATTCGGACGCGGGGTCGATATCTTCCTGGGTATCCACTTGACGGGCGTGCACATTTCACGAGCGCCTCCTTCGCGATCGGCCGGTGCACATGTCGTTGGTTTATCGCGGTGCTTACGACGACTGGGTGATGCCAGTTCTCCTCGAGAGATGGTAACTAAGCGCGACCCGAAAAGGCGTCACGAGAGACGGCGGGGCAGCGGGAAATTGGGAGAGCTATTTTGAGAGAGGCGCGTACACGTCGTCGTCGTGGTGCTCTCTCCTCTCTCCTCTCTCTGTCTCTATCTCTCTTTCCACGCCGACCGTCGCCCTGACGCCGCGATCCGGATGTACGAAGAGTCGTTTTCGTACCGGCGCACATCCGAGAAACGACTTCTCGCCGAAATCTCGGTAACGTTTGCGCGAGGCAAACGTTGGACATCGGTCTTAACGTTGGAACTGCCAAAGCAGTTAAAATAACGCGTTTGTAATTTCTGACAAAAATTAGTTAAACTTATAACAATGCTTTTTGCATTTTCAATATTGTGGCGCTGAATAAAATCAAATATAAATTTCTTCTCCCTTGAATTACGTATTTTTCCAGAAATCTCATTTTAATTGTTCTGATAGAAATAAGTCGTCGAGTATTGATGTCGAACTATTAAAAGATTATTCTGAAAACTGAGTACCTCTACAGCTTACGCTCGATGTTGAGAATTTTCTCTCACTCGGACATTTTCATACGCGACATTACCTACGAGCACTCGTCGCGCTGTCGCTGGAAACGCAGGAATCGCTAGCGCGCATTGTATTTTTCCTCGAGGTGGTGAAATGTCAAACGATTTCGTCACTATTACCGTTTCGAAATCACCCCGTCAGAGAAGTGACGTAAACGGTTTCCCTCTAACGCCGCGCACACACATGCACACGCCGCGCATTTACAAGAATCTTTTCGAGATTGCGTGTCACACGAGTTCCGCCATCGCGTAGACGGACAACTGCGATTTCGAGAAGAAACTGCAGCACCTACCTCAGTCAGAGCCTTCTTATCAGCGACTTTGGCACTTTGTAGAAGACGTATCACGTTCTTGGCACCTTCCACGACAGCCGCCTCTATCCGCAATCGATGCCGCAGCTCCTCCACCCTCTCCTCCAACGCAAGCTCCAAGCTGGGCTCGTACCTATCTGTAAAGCGTTATTACGTTTATTGACGCTGCACAGTCAGCGACGATGGTCCGCAGCTGACGCGGCTAATCGTTATCCCCGGCTGAGCAGCCGTTTATCGACCGCGAACGATTGTCCCCTTGCGTAACGCGCGTAACGCGCCACCCACGCGCTTCATGTCGCGCGGCGCAAAGTGCAAACCGTTACCGTCGGAACAACGAACGTGTATCCTTCTTCCGCGAACAATGCGTCTCCTTCCAAGAAACCGTCCGTTTGTTCGATGACTCGCGCGCTACGCAACATTGTTGCGCGCCTTCCTGTGTGCTGAATGCATCGCGCGGCACAAACACACCCCCGCGGTGAGATACGCTGCGTGTTCTGGGGCAGTTTCATTGCCGCAGTAAATGTCAGCTCACTGTCCCGTCGCGCCGACGGACGTAAACTTCAAGCGGGTAACAATGAGAGACGCGTGCACAGCTTAACACCCTGGTCGTGCGCAAACAATCGGAACGCGAAGTCGGAACGCTACAATAGCCGCGCATCCGAGACTGTTTAACAGAGAGGAGGCCTCTGACGCGCGAGAACGCGTCGTATCAGCGGTTAAATAAACGCGATATTTTTAGCGGCGCCTCCATTATCTGCGCAACGGCATAGATACCACGAGTAAGCGAGGTAACAACTCGTCGTTTGGATATTTCCAATCGTATCGGCTACGAGGTAAAAAGAAGGAAAGGAAGAAAGAGAATTTGCTTGCTTAGCTTCTTAGAGAAGCGCTTTTGAAGGTTACAATTTTATATATATACTCGACACTCCTCTTTCCTCTCGACGAGATCTTACTCTCGCCGTTTGTTCGACCGGTTTGCACGCAAAAAATTGTTGTTAGCAACAAAGCACATGTACCTTTGTTACTAGTCGCCTCGCCGTTCGGCGGCGGCGCGTCGCCCCGCGCGTGTTGCTGCTGCCGCGCTTGGCGCACCTTCACGATTCGCATCCGTAGGAACTCGATTTTGGCGCGGGAATCGTCCAGCATCTGTTGAGCCTCCTGCAGCAACTTCTTGTCGCGATGGCCGCTCGTCAAGCTCTGTATCATGTTTTCAGCACCCTGCTTGACCTGAAAATGAAGGAAGGAGGAGATCAGAGAACATTCCATTTCCATCGTATTACGATCCATTTATCTGTCTCTCTTAACCTGTTATGATCGTAAATGAACCGTTTGAAACCGGTATCGATTTTACAATTTGATGCATTCGCTCAAATCACGCAAAAATCCGAGCCATCGTCTCGAATAAAGAAGCAAAATGAGAGATGATTATGCGCAGTTTATGCTCCTGCATTAATTAACGCTTCTGCCTTAACATATAATAACTGAAAACCCCGCAACGCGTTACTCTAATTATTCCGAATCCGCGTACGCGCGCACGCAGTGCGCGTGTGTGTGTGTGCATGTGTGTGATGTAACGAGAGATTATTTTTAGTAGGGGGGAAAAACTGAGAGCGACTCACTGCGCTGACTCACGCGAGGCCGATACGTAAGAAAAGTGAAAGAGAACTACCGAAGTTCTGCGTAATCATCCGGAAAGCGCCGAGCAATTACTCCGCCGATGATTACTTCGCGCGCGCATTAACGAGAAATATCGATAATTACACTAATAGAGACATACGATGCTCCGTTATCGGGTTTTCTCGATATCATGGTTGAAGTCTCACGATAACACGGCCGAGAGCCATGCGAGCGCGAAATAAATTGAGACCTATTTGCGAGATGAAAACACGCGAGATTTCGACGCTGCGTGAGGCGAACGCGCTCTCAGAGCTCGTGGAGGCGACGTCTCTCACCTTCAGTTCGATATTGAGCTGCTTCTCCAAGGACAGAAGACGAAGATCCGTGAATAGACCTTCCTGACTCGGCGACGAAGGCCCCATCGGTGATAGAGGCGTGTCTGCAACAAAAATAGACGTTCACCGAATGAAAGAATCCAATATCATCTAGCGTAATGGCCGCGTGACGTACGTCTCGTACGTCCGCGCCGAACGACGAAAAAATTCGCCGCCCCGACGTGTCGCCGCAAAACCCATTTCCCGCGAACGTCCCGCGAACGGAGACTCTGTTCTGGTCGAAAGCTAAATATGCCTTTCTAGCTCTTCAGATATTGTACCTTCAGATATTGAACCATTTAATTGGATATGGAGCGCATCTGAGGATGACCTTGGCATAATCTTAAATATAAGATCGGACCTGAGGCCCTACCCTGGTCGCGTGTCAAACACAAAATATATTTTTCTGATTCTCAAACTAAAGCAACGTTGACACTCGTATAAGAAAACGAAACGTTGAATTAAAAGGGCATGCTTAATGGACGCGCCTCTGCTTTCTTCTAGGTCAGTATTCATGGTCAGATCTTATATTTATGTTCCTCACAAGTTCATCTTCAGACGCTATATAAATAATTTCATCAGCTACGGAGTCAGTTAAGCTCATTTGAAGATCGGGACAAATCTGAAGTCAATCTTAAATGTAAGATCAGAATCTGTGAATGTCGGTTCAAGTCTACTCCGCTTTCTCACGCTCGACATCCTGCTTCGTAGTTTGAGCGTAGATTTCGCTATAATTTCGGGCGCAAACGCCACTATTTGATGCGTCCCCACGTAACGTATCCGACGGTTCCCCACCGATAGCGAGATCGTAGACGACGCCGCTCGAATCCTACTTTCCATAACCCGGCGCTGACACGTTGAAGACATACCGACTCCCACGTATCCGAGCAGTACATGGTTACCGAGTACATGGGGAGTGTGGAGAAAAAAGTGATGTTCCGCTTTGTTTCAGCCACGCACCGTTATGAATTTCCCATTGCTTCCTTTCCACCACGCTAACACGCGCGCATGCACGCCGCTGTCTATCACAAACGTCTACGAGACGCGACGTGAAAGAGCGCGGAGAGGATGATATCGCGAGATGCCCGACACGCTGGAATATCGTTATGTATGCAAATAAACCCGCGGCCACAATCCATATACGCGGCGCGGCACAATATTTATAATGCGCATTAATGCAATGTATGCGTATAGCGACGTGAGCGAGAGAGAGCAGGCACTTAACTCGCGCCGGAACGGTGTGTGGGAAACGCGACTCGTAATTATGAGCATTATTTCCGCGCCAGCCGGAACTCCTGACAATTACATTCGTCAATGCGTCTTACGTAATCGTGTCGTTCTGTCTTTCGTCGTTCTACACGTTCCTACGATAAATGTAGACGCGCTCTCTAATGTGTTCTTAATTGCGAGTCTAAGGATGTTAGCGCGATGTCGTCATATTTCGGACAGATACTCGGCATACAGTATTTCCCTGTCGTTATGGAGTCGAAACGAAACATTTCACGGACTTCAATTAAACGTCACGCAGCGCGATAAAAGAGAAATTGAAACGGTCGTTATAAAACGATATGAATAATTCAAATAAAACGTCGTCCTCGCGTTGCAATTTATCTGGCGAGATAACACGAGCTGTAACAACTCTAATGCCGTGACGTTATCCCGATAGACTGACGTACTTTACACACAGCAAGTTTAAGTCACGTATTAAATCACGAATTTCAATAAGGTGCGATAAATCGTTTAGTTCTTTATGGCTGATCAGTTAGCAATCGAATTTATCGTCACACAAAATGACGAAATAAAAATACGAAAAAAATGATAAAAATTTGCTCAAAACAATACGTCATAAACGCAATACAAACATCTGAGTGTGACTCAGTGAGGCCAAGTTCTACAACATCCGTTTGATTTTAACTACCGGTTAAGTCCCAATAGTGATTAGTTAATTCTGATTAACTCTTCTTAATGTCAAATGCGATTGATCCAACGGAATAACCAGCCAATTAAGTTAACTGGAGATTGTAGAATTGGGTCTCAGTGAATTTGTTGTTGCGTCAATGCACCAAAGATTTACATTATCGTGTGATGTGACTTTAATAATTAATTCAATGTCTCATATCTGCTTCATAAATGTAACGAGAAGAATTGTAGTAAAGTTCCCGTCATCGCGACTATCTCACGTCGTGATAATCATGAAAGTCTATCTGAGTATTTGACTCGATCCTCGCGAATGCGCGATTTACGCCGGCCGTTACGCTACTTTTACTCGCATTACTCGCGGCGCACACAGTCACGTGTGCGAGCGCGACACACGAATTCAGCTCGTTAGAGCCGATGTGGGGCGCTTTTTCCTCCATTCAAGTATGCCCATTATGCGCCCCGTACCTGGCCGCTACGTACGCGGGAAGCCTCCGGTGGACACGTGTGTGCGGCGGCGTGTGCACGCTTCCACGATTTCCCTCTGCGCGCACAGCACACGCACGTTGGGATAAACGACGCGTAGTACCCGTTCGACGCCAATGGACGGACGGACGGACGGACACACGCTCTCTCGCACCGTCTATGCACACGAGAGCATGCCGGCATATCCGAATAAGGCGATGTAGAGGGTAGGTGCGAGGAGGGGGCGAGGAGGGGCGAGGGGGAGCGGATGCACTCGATTTTTCACGCGATGCCTCAAACGCCACGTCCGTCGAAAAAGTATGCTAATCGCCGGCTGGGGAGAACTAGAAATCGCGCTCGACAGCCGCGAGGGGCACGCGAACGCCATCCCGTCTATTCTGATATTCGCGATATCGTTTCTATTACCTCGTCACGAACGGAATACATATTCCGGGAAGTCCTGCGAATGCGCCTAGATTAGATAAAGGCGGAATTGGCATCACAGAAGGACATTGTATCTCAAACACGTCATTTCTGCATAAATTTGCATGTCTGACGGAAGAGAGAACACATCTTGCGAGACTCGCCTAAAGAGACGCATATGTATGACAACGATCATTTTTCTTCGTCTACTCTCTCTAAATTTCTTTGAGTGGAATCTCACTCAAAACGAGCGAAAAGTCGCGGTATTTTCACTCGAAGCGATGGTGAAAATACGCGAAATCGCAAGAGTGAATGTTTCACTCGAGCTTAGAGCGGACTCCAGCTCTATTATGTGAGAAGCTACATTCACTCTTCTCATTAAATCTCTGTTCTATATCACACTGTTCTACATATCGAACAATCGATCGATTTAGAGTAATTACAATCGATTAGAGTGAATATCTTTCTATGATGGTAGAGTATATCAGATTCACTCTTCAATTTCAAGTGATATTCCCTCGACAATTCACGATGGAAAATTCGCTCTATATATGGAGAAAATATTGTAGTAAAGATTACAAAAAATTTTTGCAATCTTAGGCCATACAGAATTGTAACTGGAATCACTATATATCTGTTTAAAAATATTACGCACGTTTGATGTTTTACTGCAAAATTATTGTAATCGTTTGAATATTCTTTTTATATATCAGGTAGATCGTAAAATTTACTACATCTACAGCAATTTCTACTACAATTTCAGTATAGTTCAATTTTACAAAAAACATTGTAATGAGAAATATAATTTTAACGTAATTTTTGCTACAAAATTTTTTCGATGTATGATCGGAAAATCGCTTGAAATGGAAAAATTTGATGGTAACTCTATTTTTTGAGTGAAATCCCACTTCAAGAAATTCAGATAATACTACAAACTCTAAGTTTTGCAAAATCACGTAAGAAATACAGGATAGGCCGTGAGGGAAGGTTTCCCAAATAAATACGGATTCATCAATGCCTGATTGTCACCCGAACCGCTCAGAGTTATTCGACGAATAAATCTCGCTCATAAATAAACAAGCGCAGCTGATCGACCTTGCGCGTTCGATATCGTTAGCAGTTCTCTCGGACAATCGAAGGGCGGCTATTGTTTCCGCGGTTCGCACGAGGGAGGTGGACACACGTCGAGAAAATCGCGCGAGCGAGCGAGAAAGAGAGAGAGAGAGAGAGAGAGAGAGAGAGAGAGAGAGAGAGAGAGAGAGAAACGGGAGGCCGAGTCAGCAGGCTGGCAAACGAATGCATGTACGCGCATACAAGGCGTCTACAATGCAGCGAAAACGACGACGAGTGCGGAGGTGGAGGAGAAGAGGAGAGGAGGCGGCGGGCATAAAAGAGTTCGCGGGGACAATGCGACTCCGCATCGAGAGCTCCGCGAAACCGTGTCATTAGCGCAGCGCGGCCGAACACGTGCTCCATTATACGCCACGTTCCTGCCCTTGCCACACGCGGAGGCCGGCGACAAAGGCTTTCCTTGTTTCTGACACCAACACCGTCGTCGCACACCGTCGTCGCACACCGTCGTCGTCGTCGTCGTCGTCGCGTCATCCGACCACCCACCTCCCTCATCCAGCAGTATCCGTTCTTCTTCATCCCCTTGCGCGTTTCCCGCCAGGGGAAACTATCGCAAAGAGTTGTCGATGCATTGGTGTGCGTTCGAGAAGAAAAAAGGAAGAAAAGATAGGGGGAGGAGAAAGAGGAGACGACAGCACGAGAGCTTCAAAGTGCCTCCTCCGCTGCTCTCTTCCCTCTCGTTGCCACTTTCGTTAGTTCAACGACCCCGACACGAGTCGCACGCAACCCTCTTTCAGAGGGAGAATGCGTGCGCTCCCGAGGAGGAGTCCCCTCGGCGTCCCGGGCTGCGGATAATTGCTCTCCGCTAGCCGTTCGCAGCGAAGGGCTGCGGCCGCCAAGTGGCGATGGTTATGCAAAATGCAGCGGCGACGCAGCAACCAAGTGCATTGTCACGGGTCTTACGCGCTTCGCACGCAGGAAGCAACGACGACGACTACGACGAAGCATCCTGTATCTCCCTCAGCCTCAGTCTCTCGATGCGAGGGGTACGCGCAAACCGCGCGCGCGGCTCGAAAATTCGCGTAATTGAGGCTCCGCACGCCGCGGCCGGACATTATACGGTAATTCTCGGTAGTTACACGCGTAACCACGATACGCATTACGCTATCTCGCTGTGTACCCGAGGTCT